TTAGGGAGGGTGGGTGCTACCTTCCAAGTGGCACCTTCTATTGAAGAGTGAAAGGAGAAGTGATGGAACCTTCACATTTTCATCACATTTTACAGTGTGCAAATGTTTTCACATTTCTTTAGCCAGGTTTCACAAAAGTCCTAGAAATTGTCGGAGGCCACCTTGAACAGGAGCTATGCACACATCTTTTGAGTCTTGAGTAAAGAGGTACTGAACTGGCATTGCACCCACTGTGATGCATGTGGACTTACCTCACTGGGCCAGGTGCGTGCAGCTCTGGGATTGGGTGTCACCCTATGGGGCTGAGTTACACCCACCTGTTTGTTGTAATATTACCCTTTCCTTTTTTGGATGGAACATTCCATCAAATACACCTGCCCCCCCATCAATAAATTGGGCTTCAGAAAGTACTCTTGCCTTCTCTCCCACCTGCCTCTCATGATTTTCTCTTGCCTGCCTTGTGGGAGCTTACATCTGAGGTGGAAAAGCCTTTTTGGACCACCCATGAAAAAGGTACTTTTTGTGTGTGTCTGCATGATTATTTCATGCTAACCGAAATTCACCTGAGTGACACTGGTTTAGTAGCCCATGCTGGATGAGGGCTACACAGTTGGCTTCTGAACAGGGACACCTTGGCGTGAATTTGGAGGGTTTGGCTTTGGTTAAGTGAACTTAAAATTTCAGAGTAGTGGGTTGGTTTGTAAAAGAAAAGAGATTGCAGCTAGAAAGTAAGGGGACGATAATCAGTAACATGGGTAATCCTTCGTCTTTGGAAGAGGCACTCTATTTCACAATCCTATAAACTGTAATGAGAGGTAGAGGGAAATAAATTAGAAGAGCCCAGCTCAAAACGTGTTTGGGTTTGCATTTATGTGAAGAAAAAAACAAGAGGCCAAGACAAGAACTTGTTCCAGGTAATTTACTTGGCAGTGGATGTTAGAAACCTGTATTAGAAAATGAGATAGAAAAGGAGAAAAGGCCAATACCCAGGGGCTACTGAAGTTGCCTCTGCAGGCAACCATCTGGATTCCTACTCTGACCACATGAAGGAAAGCATTCCATAATTTCCTGTTTGAAAAACATTGTGCTGGGACATTTCTGCTTGACCCTATTTCTGCTGGTTAGGAGTTCTAATGGGATGTTACTCTTGAAATTCCCCAACACATTTGCCTGCAAGCTGGGGACCTTACCACAGGACTAAGAGAAGAAACATGGAGAGAGGTGTGGTGCAGGGTGGAGAAGGGATGCTGTTGGAATGAGCTCAGCTCACATGGAACTGCCCACCACAGCTTCAACCAAAAGTGGACTTGCATAGAGATGAGAGATGTGACAGTGCAACAGCACCTACTTCAGCCCACCCCTCACACGATGCAGATCCACTTATGCTCACTTTAAGTCCACTCTGGACAGCTTGAGGGAGAGGCCACTTGTAGTTTCTAGAAAACATAACATGGAGAAGTGTAGAGGTTCAGTGGAACTAGCTGGATCCCATTGTTGATCATGATCACATTTTTCTACATGTGTCTTCCGCCATCCTTTCTAGAACTTCCTCATTCTTGGCCATTGCTTCAGCTGTACTCTAAGCTGCTTTCTGCTATACTTATCCACACCTTCACTCTGGAGGCCTCAGAGATTTTATTGCAGAGAGACACTGAGTTACTTCTGTGAATTCTCTGCCTATTATATGGCAGTAACCCCAGCCTTCAGGATTACAGGGATGACCAATATTATAACTCCTTTTTCTGCTGCTGTGACACCACTGTGGAAATCCCAAAGTGACTAAGTGGCAGACACTGTTAGATTTCATGGAAAATTTTCTGTATGCCCCTATCTACCTACTCTTCAGGATTCAGGACCTCTAATATATCAGGTCCTAAAGGTGCAGAGACCTAAAGCATAAATTCTGCAAATGAGTTTATGGAAATGATGCTGAGAGGCTGGTATTGCTTGGTTCATGGACCTGAGTATTCCAACTTTGGGGAACTGTTCCTGTAGGTTTAATGGAAGTTTCTGCAAACTTATATAAAGTGTCAGTAAATACTTTAGGCTTTGTAGGTGACAATGGTCTTTGTTTCAATGACTTTGCTCTCAAAGGGCAAAAACAGTCACAGCCAATATAAAAGCATCACTGCATGAGGACCTATATCCCAGTGCAGTGGTCCTCAAAGACATCAGGGATAATCATTCAGTTTTTGCATGTCATCATTTTACCACCAAGTTTCCAGCTGACCCAGTCTCCTGGAAGGGCATTACCATACTGAAAGATCAAATATCAGCACCTGCTGCTGCCAGCTCAAGCAACAGAAGTGGCCCTCAATAGATCTACCTTGGCACCAGTCCCAGGCATTTTAGGATACATTGACAACTTCCAGCCTTCATTCCTGTCCCCTTGACAATTCTCTTCTAAAGCCCATTGAACATACATTGGAGTCAACAAAAGACATTTAAAAAATCAGTATTATACTTTTCAAATGTATGTAAATGCAATAGATTCTAATAAATTTGAGATCTAAGGTGCATGAGCATGACTTCAGAAACAGAGAAAGTAATACATGTACTTCCTCTTTAACATCTCTCCAAATTACCCACTTTTTCCCCTTTCTCCCTCCCTCCCCAACATATTGAGGAACCTTCCATAGCAGCAGTCTTCTTGCAGTCTTAAATGGTATCCCAAGGGGAATAACTGGAAAATAAATATCAACTGACACTTCATTTAGTTCTGCATAATATATTGGTTCCCTTCCATTATACATTAGTTCTGACATCCAAGAAAATAAAAGTATATTACATCTGTATACATATGTGTTCTTAAGTAAATTTCTATAAACTAATATTTTTTTTCAGCTTATGAAAAATTAACTCACATTTTGTTAATGTTCCTACAATTAAAAGGTAAAAAAATGATAATTCTATTGTGTGTTTGTTGCCACAATAAAAAGTACATTAAAAGGCAATTATAGTGCAAAGAATAAATAAGCTATGGTCCACTTTAATGATTAATAATTTTAAAAGAAGATATTGATAATTTGGGCTGTTTTTAAACTGGCAGGTGTACATTTATATAAATATGGATATGTATTCCTTTCTGTGTAATGAAATATGTATATAGAGAACTGTATCATACAGATAAAGGAAAAATTCTACGAAAAATAGAAAAAAATTAATTGACCTTGATATCTACATAATAACTTGGTAAAACTTTGTTATAAGATGCATTAGTCAAATGTTAAAAAAATATTATTTAAAGAAAAGATAAACATCAACAGCCATGCCCCTAGATTGACATTTCAGCAGTATGGCAAGGTATTCAGTGGTGACTAAATGATGTTCCAAAACACCACAGTAGTAGGGGTCTACATCTGGCAATTTGTTAGATTCCATCATTCCTATATTTCTTTCTGAAAAGTGGAGCCAGACACATTGTGATGTCCTGAATTGGATCCCAGTACAATAAAAGAATATTTGTAAAAAAAAAAAAAATGTGGTGGAATCTGAAACAACTGTGCAGTTTGATCAACAAGGATGTTTCAAGGTTCATTTCTGACCTTTGACTGGTGAAACTTGGAATATAAAAAGTTAACATTAAGGGAATCTGGGCAAAGGTCACATGTGAAATTTTCACACTATCTTTGCAGCTTTTCTGTAAATATAAAATTATTTAAATATTAAAAGCTTATTAAAAATATAAGAGAGACTTAAGAGACTTTTGTGCCTGTGCACAAAGAAACAATCAAACAAACAAATAACCCACAAACCTGAGCAGCAGTGATGTTCTGATAACAAGAGAGGGGAACATACATGGATCATTTCAAAAGCCTCCCATGAAAGAAGAGGATGCAGTGACTGGGAAGGTGCATGCAGGGTCTTCTGTGCTGTTCACATTCTAATTCTTGACCTGGACTGGCACATGGCTACACATGTGCCATATTTTGATACTAACTCAATGAACTGTACTTTTTGTTACATTTCCCTTCAATAAAAGAGAAGTTTTAAAGACACATTCATAGTACTGGTAAATAGTTCTCTGCTACAAGTAAAGAATTAAGGGAGAATACAGAAATAAATTCAGTGTACAAATGTTGGGAAGATCTTGTGTAGATATCCAAGTTATTAAACCATAAGCATAACATTTTCAGAGCTGAAAGAACATTGGAAAAGGTCACAATCAACCCTGACAAGTTCTTCATGGAGGCACCTCTGCAGGTGCTCCTGTAGTGGGAGGGGCAGGACCTGACATCTGTGTCTTAACAAAGCCCTCAGGAGATTCTTATGCAGCCAGATATATACCACTGAGACATGCAAGGAGATGAAGTGAATATTCAGAGGCAGAATGTTCCAGAAATGGCACAAGAGCCTCACCCCTAGACCCTGTTCCTCAATTCCACCAGCAGCCCAAGTGTTCCGGTTAAGATCCCTAAATCTTTACAATTCCACCAAAGAATATCTGTAAGTTCCACCACCCTCAGTTACCTTATCCAAGATGTGATTTTTTATCATCATGGATTTTTTTTTTTTTACTCCAGAAGAAGCACTGATTTTCCAGAATAATTCAAGTTTCATACTTCTAATACAACATTTACACATTTTATTTATTTAATGGCAGATCATATTTAATGGTAGATTCATAGACTATTAAAATTGGAGGGCTACTATCCTGCCTACTCATTTTGTGCATGGGGATCCTGATGCCAGCGATAATGGAAAGTTGTTATGAGTTTCTAGAGGCAAGTTCTCCTTTTTCAGGTCAATAAATTAGCCTGAATTCTTCCTAATGCTTACATTCTGTTGAGATAAATTAATACAATATGAAATAGCATTAGATTTTGGATTTTGTTCTTTGACGCATAATTCATTTTGTTGTTTTTTGATTTTCTGTTGAAAATAATTTTTCCTGATCAACAGTGCGATGGAACTGAACAAAAGACAAAAAAAAATTATTAGATACTTAAAGTAAATTAAGGTGCTTTTTAAATGTGAAAATAATTTGCAGTAAAGAAAAGTGAAATTTAAGAATTTCTTTTAAGGCATAACATTCTTAGGTAGGCAATTATGAGAAAGATAAATATCAGAATATTCAAAGCCACATGATTCCTCCATAAGCCCCAAGGTGAGAGATCTATGTCCTGCATTAACAAGAATTCTTCACCAGAACATCTGAAATTAAGCAGAAAATATAACTTTACTCCTGGCATCTATGAAATTTTGGTCAATTTATTTGCTTTTCCTTAAAAGAAACCTATGGACTAACAATATCTTCAAAATTATTCCTTCACATACAATAGCTATCAGTCATTGAATGCAGCCATGTTACTTGATACTATGCTAAGCAACTTGCATATAATATCTTACTTAATCCATAAAATGATCCAAAGAGGTATAGCTATCATATTCATTTAAGAGGAGGGGAAGAAGGCTTAATGAGCTCAGCCAAGTTTACAGTCACAGCCCAAGGGACTTGCTGAATCTCACTGCAGAAAAAGGAAAATCCTTATGACACTGGACACACACTTACATTACATAGCCAGGACAGTGATTGTCGTTTGTTATATTCAGTGTTGGACAGAAATTTCTTCCCCAAAACTCATTATGCTGCAAAGCCTATATAACACAAAAAGCAAGGCATGATGGTTTTAAGTTTCAAAAACTTTTCGAAGAATTGTCACAATTGAATCCTCAAGTTTAGTCTTTATAGTAATTTTTTATTTGTTCTTTTTAGATATACATGAGAGTAGAGTACATTTTGGCATATTATACATACACAGAGTACAGCTTATTCTAATTAGGGGCCTATTCTTATGGTTGTACATGTTCAGAGTTACCCTGGTCATATATTCAAATACAAAGCTAGGAAAGTTATGTCCAATTAATTCTATTGTACTTTCTATTACCGTCTTCTGTCTCTTCTCTCCATTTCCATTTGTCTACTCCAATCGACTTCTATTCTTCACCTCTATTGTCCCTAATAGTGGGTTAGTATCTGCATATTGAACAGAACATTTGGCCTTTGCTTTTCTGGAGTTAGTTTATTAAACTTACTATGATATTTAAAGACAAACCATGTTTCATATTTGCAGTCTGTCACAACAAAGTGACTGAAGTTGTTAATCAAGAGATCCAGGGTTGGGATGTTGTTTCCAATTAGCCAAGAAGGAAGAACTCTTGCTAGATAACCTCATAGCCCCTTCCTCCTGCTCTCCCTATGTCACCCTACAACCTTATAATTCTAATGATACATTGTTGTTCATTAAATACTGAAGACTTATTGTAATGACATTTCTTGTTCTTTTCATTAAAACCACTCATAATGATAGGTAGTAGACTCTTGGTTACACTGTATTAAGGCACCATTTCTTTTTAGTTGAATAGCTTGCTAAACAGGGTTGAATGTTACATAGCCTTTGTTTCTCTTATACTTCCCCTTTCAACATGATCTATGTATTCTAGTCTCCTATCTTCTCATTTCCTTATTGAATAGAAACAATGTTTTGCATCAGTCAATCTTTTTGCTTTACTATGAGATTTATTCTCCCCACCCTTTCTCACCCTCAAACAACAGGATGACAGAAGGAAAACCCCAGATGACTTCCTGACCTTGTACTAATGAAGGCTATTAGAGATTCCTCATCCATTTCTCCTGAAAGGAAATACTTGGGTGGGATATGGTCACAAGTCATACCAGGGAATGTAAAATGGGTAGGTTTTATTTTCTGTGTTCCCATCTTGGAGACACACTCATAAGGTCAGAAAAGGACAGCTTACCATAAAGCCATAAAAAAGAATGTTGAAGTACTGAACCCATGAGAATTGAATTGTCCTGGTTCCAAAATACCATGACCTACCCAAAAGAATCTACACAGAGAAAAAGTACGAATTAGAACAGTCCAAGGATTTCAAGAAGAATTGTAAGAAGATGCTTTCCAAGAATTCTACAATCCTCTAAACATTTCTGCTAGGAACAATTCTTGAAATTTTTGCACTTATTCTATACATTAGCCTTCCTTTGCATGTTCAAACTTCTGCATGGCTAAGACTATTTATTGTTTTAAGTTAAGGAAAATATACTATAAACTATGTTGTATATTTCACTTATTTGGAAGACCCTTAATGGTCAATTCTTTGTCCTCAACTTCCTCTGCAACTGTATATAATGGAAAATTAAGAAGTATACTTGTCTCTTGGTATCTGGAGAGCCCAGGTTCAGAATCCATGCATACAGATACCCAAACCTATAGATGCTCAAGTCCCTTTATTTTTAAATAGCATAATGCTTGCATGCAATCCCAAGTAAATTGTTTATACTTTAAATATATGTATCCTTTATATTTTAAATCACCTCCACATTTATCATATTGTGTAATAGCATAGAAATGCTATGTGTGTAGTTTTTACCATGTACATATAACAATATATACTAAGTAGTTTAGGGAATAATGAATAAAAATAGAAAAATTGTACATATTTAGTACACACCCAATTCTTGTTTTGTAAGTTTTCTGTTTGTGGTTGATTGCATCTTAGAATGCAGAATGCATGTATTTATGGACCTTACTGTGCTCACTATTCTAATTATATCCCTACCATGTGTTGCCCGTAATAATCCTGAAAATCTAGGAACATATGCAAGAATATTCCTGAGCATCACATACCCCTCTCTACTCCCATATGTTAATAAGTGTTGTTATTTACAATGTTTACATTTTATATTCATGATGTTAATATTAAATTGGGCTTCAGAATTGTGGGCTTCAGGTTTTTCAAAGGCTAGAACTGACAAACTAAATAATGCAGTGTAGTGCACCAGAAAATGTGGTAAATCCCTCCATTTAATGCTAGACAAAGCAGTATAACAATGCTGACTCAGGAAGGAATATTGGAGATGAATAAGAGGACAGGCTGAATTCCACCTCACTCTTGTCCTAACTGGCATGAGGTGTGTGGGGATATGCACACCAATGAGAGTGCTGGTGTGCCTGCAACATCAGACTTGACCTACCAAGTGCCTGATGAATAATATGGCCTCTCTGAATAAAATGCAATTTTATGACTGGCTTTTAAAATTCTACATGGAGACTTTAAAAAAATCAAAGTATCAATAAATCAAACAAAACATCTTTTTTTAAAAAATTGAAGTGCATTTCCTTTACAGTAGATGAAATATAAATAAGACTTATCACTTCTCAATGATATTTATTGGTAGTTGCCAAATTCAGAAACAGAGAACTAAACTTTGGCAAGAGTATGTGCTAAGCCATTCTTGAATGGTTATGCCAAAATAAACCCTAATATTATGAATAATTATAACTCAATAATAAGCAGTTTTTAATAGAGAGTATGTGCTTTGTAAGTGTCAATGGAAGACATCTCTTCCTACTGTAATTTGAGCATGTCTCTATAGCTGATGTTGTGGTGGATGGAATGTGGACATTTATTCTGTTTATCTGTTGATTCATTTATGTTTGTGCTAATTTTGAGAGCATAAATGATTAAGACTTAGTAACCTATATTTTTATTCTAAAAAAAAATGAAAGAAAAATATATTGATGTAAGAGATTCTCAGGATCCAGAACAATGGATCATGAGAATCTCTTACATGGACTTTAGAATTTCCAATAATTTTAAAACATTTTCAAAATGCAAGAGTATAGGAACTAGACCATTGTTACACTTCTCATGGAGCTTCACTTTCACCTTGGGGAGTAGTGAATCCAACCAAACCAGCTTTAGTGCTTACACAGCCGGCAGTTCTCTTACACCAGGCTGAAAGGCAGGCAGAGAGCTGTGTGTTTGTGAGGGAATCAGCTAAGTTTTCTGAAGTTCCAATTTATCAAGATTTCATAATATGTCACCAAAAAGTCTCTATTAAAAGATCATTAGTAAGAACATGGTGCCTAAGTTAAGTAAGTACATTAGAAACCAGCAAAAGAGACTAGATAAGAGTAAGGAGGAAAATTTTCTTCTCTAATGTAAACGATATTTCAGTCTGTGGCCTCCTGAGAGTATAAGAGTCCCATCTACCAAATCCTCAAATCTGGTTTTACCTGACAGGAAGGTGCAGAACAAACAAGGGAGAAAGTACATCCCAGAGAAGCACAGTACACACTCACCATCAGAAATGTAAAATAGGAGTCCATGATATGGTTTGCAGTATTTCCATCAGTGTGTCCTGCTACTATGGCCAGGGTCATGGAAATGGATGAAAAAGCCACTGCCAAGAGGGTTAAGAACATGATGAAAAAAGTCTCTACTGCTGGCTTGAATTCATAGAAAAAGAAGGGATTAGTCCAGTGTAGCTCCCTGTGTATTAGGGAATATTTATTGTGCCAATATCAGTATAACATTGAGAAAACAGTTCTAACAGGACAAAAAAGTCACCCACTATTCCAACACCATAGGTCATCAATTTCATTGCTTCCATCACATAATTGAGAGGATGTATTTTCAGATTTAAGTCCTTATAGACAAATTGCTGTAGGGTTCTGTGGTTCAGAATAGGGCTGTTAAGTTTCTTAAACTACTTTATAATTTTCATGAGTTAATATTCTGTGTCACATGATCTGAGGATTTAGGAACAGGTACAAAAACACTGATGAGGAATCTAGGGCTCTAGATCCCATGCCTAATTCTTATGCCATACATATTATTTGTAAAACAGAAGGTTGTAAACTCCATCATTGGTTCAAATTCTATACTTTGTTGTAAAATAAATTTTTGGTGTGTGTGAATGTGTGTGTGTGTGTGTGTGTGTGTGTGTGTGTGTGTGTGTGGAGGGGGTGGGTATTTATCTGTAAAATATATGTATAAATGATAATTCAATAAGTCTGGGGTGAAGCCAGAGCATAATGCACAAATGATATTGTCTACTTCATCAAACAAGTAATTTCATTAGATCAATAACCCCCCAAGTTACCATCTTACTCTCATTTGTAAAGTGAACAGGGAGAGAATATATGTGTATGAATGCTTTTGTCCCTCTCTATGTGTATCTACACATACTATAGATGTTACTGCCTATCTACATTTCCTATCTATATTGAGATACATGTAGAGAGAGAAAAACAGTAGAAAAAGACAATAAATATTCCAGCTCCTCTAGCACAATTTCAAATAGTTTTAAAAAGTCAGTCTATGTTTGTGTAAGACACACAGCATCTGTATTATTTCATAAGTGGCAACAGGTAAATTATAGTTTTATAAGTAGTTTTTAAAGTTCATTTAGAAAAAGTCTGGAAAAGCATGTGCATACTGAATAGCTGTTTTAGAGAATATACAGTAGAGATGTGCTTTCTCCCTTATAGCTTGTTTTACAGTATTGGGAACCCAAAACATGTTTGCAAAGCAAAGTAAACTTCTCCACATATCCAAGAGTAAAGACACATCCTCTTTGTCTTGTTACTTATCGACCATGAAGTATAGTGTACAAATACATACAAAACTTGTCAAGAACATCCCGAGTAGCAAATCAGACAAAAGACTTCCAAAGAAATAAGATGACACTCTGTAATACCCACTGGTGGACTCATGTCTATAGAATACAAATATATACCAACACGCCAGGTTAGTTTACAAAGGAGAGCCCAGAGGAGATGCTGCTGTATAGA